TCACCGGAAGCACTTTTTCGTCAAAAAAAGATGGCGGCGCCCAGTTGATGCCGGTACCGGGCCGCGGCGCCCAGCTGATGCCGGTACCGGGCCGCGGCGTCAAAAAGGTTGGGGATCACTGCTCTAGTCCAACCCCCTGCTTAGGCAGGATACCTTTACACCACTTCAGACAAGCGGTTATCCAATTTCTTCCAGTGGATGGAGCGTCCACAACTTCTGGTGGCAAGCTGTTCCACTGGTTAATTGTCCTCACTGTCAGGAATTTTCTTCTTAGTTATAGGTTGCTTCTCTCTTTGATTAGTTTTTTTTATCCATTATTCCTTGTCTGGCCTTCGGGTGCTTTAGGAAATAGCTTGTCTCCTTCCTCTCTGGGGCAGCCCCTCAGATAGCGGAAGGCTGCTCCCCTGTTTCCTTCTCTTCCCTAGACTAGCCAGGCCCAGTTCCTGCAACCTTTCATCGTCTGTTTTAGCCTCCAGTCCCCTCATCATCCTGGTTGCTCTTCTCTGCACTCATTCCAGAGTCTCAACCTTCAGATCTTTTGGAGAATAGGTTGACTCCTCCTTCTTCGGGGCAGCCCCTCAGACTACTTGCCCTTCTATTGGGAGCAGAGAGAGGAGGCTCTGCGGATCTTAGGGAGGGTCAGTTCTGGATCTCTTGCGGCTACACAACAATTCTAGGCTAATTCCTCCCTTGAAACGCCCTCCCTGCCTGCCCGACATCCTGCAACTTAATATCTCCTAACACTTCGCTCTCTTCTTGTTTTGCAGGGACAGAATGGCGAGAGGCTCAAATTCGGGATCTAAGAAATGCCCTGGTGTCGCTTAGTCCCGACATCCCTCTGGTTTTCGTCAGCGGCAACCACGACCTGGGGAACACGCCGACTCCGGAGACCATCAGCAATTACTGCCAGCAGTGGGGCGATGATTACTTCAGCTTTTGGGCCGGGGGCGTCTTCTTCCTCGTGCTGAATTCCCAGCTGTATTTCGATGCTTCTCAGTGCTCAGAATTAAAGGCGGCGCAGGATGCGTGGCTGGAGCAGCAGCTGGCCGTGGCGGAGAAAAAGCAATGCCGCCATGCCGTTGTCTTTCAGCACATCCCCTTCTTCGTAAACGATCCCGAGGAGGACCACAACTACTTCAATCTGGAGAAGGACGTGCGACACGAACTCATGGAAAAATTCTGCCGAGCAGGTATCATTCCGGCCATCAGATACGGTTTTCTGAATGTATTTGTAGGTAGTCCTCGACTTACAAACCATGATTCGGCCCCAAATTTCTGTTGCTAAGTAAGTGAGACAGTTGTTCAGGGAGATTTGCCCCGTTTTATGGCCTTTCTAGCTACAGTTCCTAAGTGAATCTGCAGTTGTTAACTTAGCAAAAGCACTTAGACTTATGTACCGCTTCACGGTGCTATCCAGCCCTCTCTAAGCGGTTTACAGAGTCAGCCTCTTGCCCCCCGCCAACGATCTGGGTCCTCGTTTTATCCACCTCGGAAGGATGGAAGGCTGAGTCAACCTTGAGCCTGGTGAGATTCGAACTCCAGACTGCAGGGAGAATTAGCCTGCAATACTGCATTCTAACGATTGCGGAAGGAAGGAAGGAAGGAAGGAGGGAGGGAGGGAGGGAGGGAAGGAAGGAAGGAAGGAGAGGAAGGAAAGGAAGGAAGGAAGGTCCAATTTCCTTTGCAGCAAGTGCAATTACAGTTACAAAATTATCTCTTATTTTAAAACACAAAAACAGCTTACTTTTTTTCTATTACCATTTCCCCCCTGATCGTCAAAACCACAAGGTCTAGGAATATACACCTAGCTGGAAACCTTTTATAGACTCTTTGCATGAAATGTGGGAGGGATGCATCTACTGAGAATGTTTATCAGTATATCAGTCACTGGCTAGCATTGGTTTATACACTAAACCATTCCTAAGTAAACTATGGTTCACCTTATCTGAAGCCCATCGTTATGAATTTTTTCATTCATAATTATTTGTTCTATAGCAGCCTTCTGTTTCACTGAAGTACTCTCAATTCCCCCCCCCCCAAAGAAACAACCTGTTTTTATTTACTCCGTTTGAAGTTCCTCCTGAAACCAAAATGTTTATTTGTCTGTTTGTTGTTTAATTGGATTTCTTTAACAGCCCATTCATTTTACGCCACAGAGCTAAACGTGAGCTTCAAAAGCTACATCTGGTGTGAAAATGCTGAGCTTCGTTTCTCACTTTACAAGTGTCCCTAACAGTTGGGCTAATTAAAAAATAAAATTGCATCCTTATCATAAATATTTGTCAATTGAAAAATCTGCCACATTTTAATTTCACCATTAAGCCATGAAGATGATTGAGTGCTACCCAAAAAATACCATGGTGGTTAAGGTGGAAGGAAAAAGATGAGTGAAGGATCTTGTTGAAAAGATGATTTTCATAGAATAGAATAGAATAGAATAGAATAGAATAGAATAGAATAGAATAGAATAGAATAGAATAGAATAGAATTCTTTATTGGCCAAATGTGATTGGACACACAAGGAATTTGTGTTTGGTGCATAAGCTCTCAGTGTACATTAAAAATGCTTTCATCAAGAATCATAAGATAGGATACTAAATAAGCAATCAAATCATACTAGGAAACTAAATAAAACAATATAAATCATAAAGATACAAGCAACAAAATTATAGTCATAAGTGGGAGGAGATAGGCAATAGGAAGGATGAGAAGAATAATAGTAATACAGTCTTAGTAAATAGTTTGACAATGTTGAGGAAATTGTTTCGCAGAGTGATGGCATGTGGGAAAAAACTGTCCTTGTGTCTAGTTGTTCTGGTGTGCATTGTGAGTGTCATTTTGAGGGAAGGAGTTGAAACAATTTATGTCCAGGATGTGAGGGGTCTGTAAATACTTTCACAGCCCTCTTTTTGACTCGTGCAGCATACAGGTCCTCCATGGAAGGCAGGTTGGTAGCAATGATTTTTTTTCTGCAGTTCTAATTATTAGATGGCATTTCAGTGCAGAAGATAGACTTGGTATTAATTTAATGTCTAAATGATTGCAAGCGTGGAAGCCCGGTCTTGTGTCTGTCGATGGCTGGAACCTGAAGCAGGTCAAATGCAAGAAGATAAAATCACATTTTACAAAGTCCACAAGACGTGGGTCAAATTCTAAAGTGGCTTTTAGTATGTAGGACTCAAAACCGCCCGTGGGTTCAGTAGGCCTGGCCCCAACTTAGCAGTCACTCCATTGCCAGTTGATTCTTTTCCCATTGGTTTGGATTTACACCTACCCAACAAACAAGATAGCATTTGCTATTGCAAACATTTCCACAACAGACCATGGTGTAGTAAATCTGCCAAATGTGCACGATAAGATCCACCCTGGAATGCATGAGAAGGTTGCTAACATAAATTCTGGAAAAGAAGATGAAGCTATCAACCAATCCGCTATTAAAGCTGAATGCTAAAGAAGGCACCCTCGTAAAAACAAAATAGACAACATTGAAATACGTACTAGTTCAGAATCCAAGAAATCCATCCAGGGTAACGTTTAAGATGTTGATTCAGAAGAACCCCCAAATGCAATTATCCCTCTATTCGGTAAATAGAGAACTTTCCAGGGAAGCCTCCCAAGAACCCATCCTAACATCGCTACCGTGAATCTAATTCACCTCGGAAGTTGTTCTGACCCAAACCTGGTTCCAAGAGAGCAAACACAACACAAAGGCAGCAGCACAACCTTTTAATGTTTCATTTACGAATCCTGTTTCTTCACAGATAAAAGGCTGCTTCCAACGAATTAGCTCCGACAAGAAAGAGCCTTGCCAAGTTTTTGCAAGGCTGCCAAAAACCAACAGGCAAGAAATAGTTTACAACACAAGAGTCTTCAAATACCAACTGTAATGTCCACGAGGCTGAGTTTCAAAACGTCTTTGCTTCCTGCAAAGAATGTTTGCTTCACAGCTGGCTTTTACCATCTTGAAGGAGAGGCCATTACCTTACAGCCTTACACCCAAGTCGCCTGTGCTGTTGTAGCTACTCTTTCCTGCTAGCAATCCTGCGCACACGTGCACTTGGCACAGGCTCCTCGGGAACCTCCTCATCACTGCTGCCAGCCCCCACAATCTCTGAAGGCAGCACTCCACTCCCTGATGGTCCTGGCCCCTCATCTGAGTCTTCACTCTCCTCAGCCGTCTGCACCTGCTGCCGGCTAACCACAACAGAAGCCATCGAAAGAGGCAGTGGTTCCCAGGGAGTTTCCTCTTACCAACTTGCACTTCTGTAAGTTAATTCAATTAACTCCCTCATTCTTGCAAGCTTGAAGGTCATATCAAAGGATTCCTGGTCAGGCTGTTGGATCTGATCTTACTGTCCTGGGCTCGGTTCAGAGTTTTGGTTACCTTTCAACAGTCTCCCCAGCTGGTCCTCATTATTCAAAGATGACTCCTCTATTACTGTGGGCTCCTTGGTGCTCTGAGCTTGGTGGCTTTCTTGTAGATGTTTCATTATCAAACTAGGTAGTATTGATGATGTTACGTAGTTTGGTGATGAAACATCTGCAAGAAAACCACCAAATTCAGAGCACCAAGGACCCCACTGTCCTCCTTCTCCTCCTCCTCCTCCTCCTCTTCCTCTCCCCACCAACACACACTCCATTCCCTTCTAGCATCAATGTTACCTAGTTTGGGTAATGAAACATCTGCAAGAAAACCACCAAGCTCAGAGAGCATCAAGGACCACACCGTTCAACCCTGAGCTACAGATATTCTCTCCTATTGATCTTCTGTTATCGATGGACAACCTTGGTTAGGAAGGGTTGAAAGCTACTAAATGACTGAACAAAACCCATCATGACTTAATATGATAAGGTCTAGATGTCTCTAGCTGCTCTTTTCTCCCTAGGTTGCCTTTAGGATTCCAACTTCTTCTCTTGGTCAGGAATACTGACAGGTCCTAACAGTTGAGGTACATCCAACCCTAGTGCAACCTTTGGTGATTGGGATTCATAGCACATCGTAAAGAGTGGTACCTCAACCACCACACGCAGGCACCAAGACAGATTCCAAAATGCAGCCTTAAGAATTGGCTACCTCATTCACAAGGGACAAAGATGTCTCCAGGATGCCTCAAGCAGAAGACATTTTATACATCATAACGCAGAACTGATTCGTTGCTAATCGGATGACAAAAATGCAACTTACTGGCTCTTCCAGATAGCTGCTTCTGGCCTATTCCCCGCTGTGTTTTCTTCATTAAAAGTTTCTTTTGAGGTGTGTCAGACCAGAATGTTAAAATACTCTGGAAGTTTCTGCCAAGGATTTTGATTAAAACCAAACAAACAAAAAGCCGACTCAGCTTGAAAACCCAGCCCCAAAGTCAGGAAAAAACAGCTTTTTGAAGTTTATGACATTGAATTATATAAGATACAACGACTACCCAGGACAGATTAACTTGGTGGAGCTGTGTTCAGCGAAGGAACCTCGGGGAGATCTGAAAACCAAGTAGGGTGAGTGGCAGGGAACTGGAAAACCAAGTGACTATTTTGCTGTCAGTTTTTGTGGACGGTCTCTTTTTTTGCCTGTGTTTGTTGTGTATGTGGGTTGCTTTTCAATTGCTCACGGCACCTTCCTTGAAGAGACAAATCTGAAAATCCAGCAGAAAGCTGCAAAAGAAGAACAGGTGGCAGGTCACACCTGCGCAAACCCCCAGAGGATATAGTGTCATGTCATTATTGCTGCTGAAAAAAATTCACATCCCAAAAGGACCGTGCCTCACGTTTTGATTCTCTGCCTTAAACTGTTACTCAAAAGGAAGAGGAAAATATGATCAAAGAAGGACAATTCTTATCTTCTATATTAGAATTAGAATTCTTTTATTGGCCAAGTGTGATTGGACACACAAGGAATTTGTTTTGCTGTAAATGCTCTCAGTGTCCATAAAAGAAAAGATACATTCGTCAAGAGTCAGGAATAATCTGGTACAACAATTAATGATAGTCATAGGGTACAATAAGCAATCAAATCACACTAGGAAACAGTCATTATAGATCGTAAGGACACAAGCGACAAAGTTACAGTCATAGAGTCACAAGTGGGAGGGGATGGGTGATAAGGAGTGATGAGAAGATTAATAGTAATAGTAGTGCAGACTTTGTAAATAGTTGAACAGTGTTGAGGGAATTATTTGTTTAGCAGAGGGATGGCATTCGGGAGAAAACTGTCCTTGGTGTCTAGTTGTTCTGGTGTGCAATGCTCTGTAGCGTCGTTTTGAGGGTAGGAGTTGAAACAGTTTATGTCCAGGATGTGAGGGGTCTGTAAATATTTTCACAGCCCTCTTTTTGACTCCTGCAGTATACAGGTCCTCGATGGAAGGCAGGTTGGTAGTAATCATTTTTTCTGCAGTCCTAATTATTCTCTGGAGTCTGTGTCTGTCCTGTTGGGTTGCAGAACCAAACCAGACAGTTATAGAGGTGCAGATGATAGTCTTATCATATTGGCACATCTGGGAAAACCCGATTCTGAGAATTCCAGGTTTTCCCTTCCCAAAAGAGAAATCAAAGATCCACCCCCTGCATCCATTAGTCCATCACATGGTCCAACTGGAGACATTCCCCCCAGACACACCTCTCCGGGTGCAGGGTAACTTGTCCTTGAGTTATTGAGAAAGAATGTTGTTTAATCTTCTACCTTCTTATGAAATCCCTAAAGAATATCGATATAGATACATCCTCACAGGGCCATTGCATAATTCAGAAGAATCTACCTTCAGAGATGATTATCTGTAGTGAACCAGGACCAAAGGAAGTTTGGTGAAATGGAAGAGAAGGTTGAATGGGCAAACTGCTCAGATACTTTATCTGAAATTGTTCAACCTTCAACTTAAAAACATAGATGTTTCCCACCTTTTTTTGTCTTGTCCTGGTTTCCATTCCCTGGTACCATTCATCACTAAGGTGTCACGTTCATGTAGATGTTCTTCTAAAATGCAGATCTCCTAATTTAGCATTATGCCGTTGGATGTTCTCCGTGTGTTTTGGACTTCTGCTCCCACAGGTCATAGCCATTGGCCAAGTAAACCAGAATTAGTGGGAGTGGAAATCCCAACACATTTGGTGTGAGGTCCCCAAAAGCGAGCTGGGGAATTGTGTTACTCTCACAGCTTTGGGGTTGAGAGGTTCAGGGGGTTGTTGTTATTTTTCTCTTTAATCCCTCCCCTATTGAGATTTCATTGTGCCTTCAATCAGTCTGAAATCAGGGCACATTAGCAACAATTGGCTGTCAAAACTGGATCATGTTTTAAATTGCTTGCCATGTTTTATTAGTGTCTTTAAATGAAATACTCAAGATTACAGACACTGAAAGACAATGCAAAACCTATTTCTGATTGACTGTATTTGAGCTTCAAGACAACAAATGCAATGAAGGGAATAGTTTTTTCTCTAAACCAGTCTTTAAAATGAAATTCTAAAGAGTTGGGAAAGAGGAAGTTTAAAACAAGACCTTGTCATCTCGGTCTCTTGTCTACAAGTGTCCTTCCCCAACCCCTGGAAATATAACTTCTTTAGCAGTGGCTACTGGTATATGAAATACTTCTAGCTGTGTATATTGGTTAGGTACCTAATTTATAGATCACTGAGTCCATCCATTGTCGATCTTTAATTTCTATCCTGATTTGTGGCATCAGCTGTGAGGATAGGGTTAACGAGAAACCAAGCAACTGTCGAGATTCTCAATCATCCAGGTTTCCCCAAGGTGAATTTCCAAAAGGCAACTGGACTTTCTTCATTTTTTTTCTTTGAAAACATTTTGCTTCTCACGCAAGAAGCTTCTTCAGGTTTAACTAGAATTCAGTTCATTTAGAACTGAAGAAGTTTCTTGGATGAGAAGCCAAACAGGACTGATTAACAACTCATGAGAAATTCTTCTTCCATCCTCTAATGCAAACCCTTTCAAATCAAATGTCCTTGACAAACAATTTTGGAGGTTGGGTGGGATCCAAAGGCATCATCTTGGACCATCTAAGAATTAAAAAAAAAAAGTTGGGAAACCATGCCTGGTCTGGAATCCTTTCCATTTGAGCCCAAATAATGGTTTGGTTTTGCTTTGATTTCCGACAGGTATTAAAACGGTATTTTCTGGACACCTTCACAAAAATGCTGGAGGAACGTACAAAGATCTCAACATGGTCGTTTCATCAGCCATTGGATGCCAGCTAGGAGAGGACTACCATGGAGTGCGGCTAGTATGGGTCACCGCAGAAAAGATAGAACATAAATACTACAGTCTAAGCGAGCTGAGTTTTCTCAAACTGTAGCATTTATGGACTATCTTTTCCATTTCTGTTTTGATTCCTGACACCCTCACCATTGTCCATGTTGGCTGGAGCTGCTGGGAGTTGTGTGTTTCAGCAGCAATTTTGAAGATCATCACCCTAAATCCCTCTCTCTAACTGAATGGCTAACCAGCACAACATCCATTTGATTGAAGCATCGATCGCGCAGTCTGGTTTGTCAATCCTCAAATCTTCCAGGAGAAGTAAATAAGAAGCATTTTATTCCAGTCCCAATAAAATAGAATTCCCTCATCTCTCCTGTTAGTCGATTGCTTTTCACCTTCGCGTCCGAGGAAATTCCACTGGGACTGTATTAACAATGCAGAGGAAGCTGGGGTCACACAATGTGTCTGAACACAACACACATCTTGTCCAGGGTAAGCCCGAGAGAGCCATGAATAATCATTTAAATCTGAATCGTTAAACGTCCGTTAATGGATGTTTCCTGAAGGAAGACGGTTGTCACAGTGAGAGAAATCTGTAAATGGGGTGGAAAAATCTGATTATGTTCTTTGCAAAATGCTAGTCTCCGGAGATTCCATCGCTGATCTCTTCCCATAAGCTCTGAGCAGTGGAGGCCATTCTCTTTTCAACAGCCTTAAACCATTGACCCAAGTCCACCATTTCCATTCACGCACAATTCTTGGGGTGTCATACCATTTTCCTAAACTTGGGATCCTCCAGATCTGTTAAAGTGTTCAATTCCCACTGAAGACTTTAGGGCTAGAAATTCTGGTCCAAAAAGGCTTGAGGGGGCACTAGGTTGAAGAAAACTGTTTGGAGTTGGCAAAATCCAAGCTTCCCGGTTGCGTTGTATCACAGCAGTGAGAATCTGGTGCTGAAATGGAGGATCTTTGTAAAGAAGGTCAACATTTGTGTGAGCAGGGAACGTCTAAGGGATCAACATTCTCAACATCGAAGAGATCTACATTTAGAGTTCTTTTGGCATTAATAACTGAGTACACTCAGATCAATCGCTAAATGTAACTGACGATGACTAGTCAATCTTAACAGTGCAACCCCCCCACAGCACACACAATGTCTGTGACTTTCTCTGGACAATTAACAATGGGGTCCTTAGTGCTCTCTGAGCTTGGTTGTTTTCTTGCAGACGTTTTATGGCCCAGCTAGGTCCCATCATCCGTGCTAGAAGGGAACGGGGTTTGCCGTTGTCATATCGATTAAGTTATCTAATTTGGTCATCCCAAAGGTGCTGTTTTTTTCAAAAGGCAACTGGACTTCCTTTGTTCTTCCTTGAAGACATTTCACTTCTCATCCAAGAAGCTTCTTCAGTCCTGACTTGAAGAAGGAGCTTCTCGGATGAGAAACTAGAAGCTTCTTCTGAAGTCAGAACTGAGGAAGCTTCTTGGATGAGAAGCGAAATGTCTTCAAGGAAGAACAAAGGAAGTCCAGTTGCCTTTTGAAAAAAACAGCACCTCTGGGCTAACCATGACCTGGAGTCTCTATAGTCATTGAGTTTGGCAATGAAACATCTGCACGAAAACCCCCAAGCAAAGAGAACGCCATGGACCTCAAAGTGCAATTCTGAGCTACAAACGCTCTCTTCTATCGGTACAAGAATCAGCTGCAAACCAATTTACCTGTTAGTGACTTGAGCCAAGAAATGGCTCATTGTTCCATGCGTCCACATGGTTTCATTCCCAAGCCCACTGCAGATCCCAAATTCATGGAATTCTGCTCCCTAAGAAAAGATGCACCCGGGGCGTGGCACAAAGGCAACGCAGTCAAATAAGCAACAAAGAGTCCCTTTATTATCTCCAACTTTGCCCCCAATGTCCAGGTTACCTTCAGCTGGAGAAAAACTCTCCCAGGAACAACCTTTGACTGTAGAAAATCCAGTCCAAAACAAGGTACATACAAACTGTAACTAGAAATCCAAACAAACCAAGCTGACGTAATTAATTTGACGGGGCAGGAGAAGGAATTTCAGACTTGAAAGCACGGCAAAACTCACACAGTTGGGAAGATGCCAGGAACACAGATAAGCCACAACGATACCAGATAAATTCACATTTGCTCCCAACAACTGCGCTGTGCGCAGCTTCCTCTTTTATACACTGTGTTCCCAGCTGTGGCTAAGGAAGGGAATCGGGGCCCTTTCCTCCCCTGTAAGCCACGCAACCCACGTTGCTCCCTTCTCCGTTCCTGCATGCCCTAGGATGAAGAGGGGGTGGGCCTGGGTCTTCCTCTAAATTCCCTCTCCCTTGCTCTACCTCTCCCCTACTCTGCCCAGCCGGACTTTGCCCTTCCCCAGTTTCTGCCACAGCCAACGATTCAGATTCCAACAGGGGCATGACACACTTTTAGATGCTGCTTATGGTTTACCTTTAGTGCTTAGAAACATTTTTTTTTCCTTCCCGATTCTCCTCTCCACAGGAGTGTAGAGAATGGAACAACATAATTGTAAACGGGTGGTTTTAAACCATCAGTTCACAGAGATTCCTTGATTTCATTTTAATTCGAAGGGAGCATTGAAAAGACCTGTTTTTATTAGTTTCCCTAGTTTAATGTGTTCCAATTTCATGGAACACTATGTGTGCACAGTGATGCACATGAAAGAATAATAATAATGTGTGGCTGAATATCACCTCTGCTTACACTTCCAAAGTCATAAGTGCTTGCATCAGTACATTTTCACACACACACAAGGTACATACATAGTGGAGAAATGTCTATTCCTTGGTCATCCCTATTTGCAACGTGAATCCAGCTAAATTCCAAAAGACCCATTTTCCCCCCTAAATCGCAGGTCCAGGTTCACTTGACTTTCAACTAGCGTAGAGGGGATGAAAGATAGGGTGTCCTTGCTTTACCTTTTCTTTTAAAAATATCCTTTTCCTATGGTTTGTGACAGACTTTGTTGGGTGAAATATTAAATGTTGTTACAGCTATATTACCGAGGGCAAGTGTGATGCTCAGCAGTATCGGTAGTGTAAAAATTGAATAAATGCTCGTTTCTGCTTAAGTTGTAAAGGATTTCTCTCACATATATACCATCCATCCATCCATTAATTATTTTTTTCCCTCCAAGCATTTATACGTTGCTTGATGGAAATAAAACCAGCTACAATTGTTGTAAAGGATTTTTCAAACACATGCACACCCCATCCATCCATCCATCCATCCATCCATCCATCCATTAATTCTCCTTTTTTACAAGCAGTTATACATTGCTTGATGGAAATAAAACCAGCTACAATTGTAAAGGATTTTTCTCATATGCATACACCATCCATCCATCCATCCATCCATTAATTCTCTTTTTTTTTTACAAGCATCTATACATTGCTTGATGGAAATAAGATTGGTTACACTGTTTTTACGTAGCTTACCTTTCAATCTGTTGGACCCATGGAAATCAATAAAAACGTGAGTGAAAAATCTCTCACCTTGACCATTTTTATATGCAAAACAGGTAAAAAATACCCCAACCCTATTTCCATATGCAGCTGCTATTTTTAGGTGTAGAGGTATGATGTTCATGCCTAATGCCTATTTGCAGGAAAACGAAATTGGTGAAAATTACTTTCCATTAGAAGGGAAATTGCTGTGGGCTGTAATTCAAGGTTTTCTGCTTATTACAAGGGGCTCTATAAAGTGCAGTGATTTCATATCAAGATGTCTTCGGGTGCCAACGGTATGCCAAGTCCTTTACTGAGGAGAGCCAGGAAAAAGGGCAAAAACAATGGACTTGAAAGAACAAATTCACAGCAGAAACTTTGATGCTGCGTGTACAACACTTCTGACTTGCACACGAAACTTTGCTTTGCCAAGCTAATTTCTTGCTTTCTGTACAAAACCACAGGTGTTCTCTTTCTTTGCCTGATCCTAGAGATAAGGAGCTTTCTGTTCTGGTCCTCTATCTATCTATCTATCTATCTATCTATCTATCTATCTATCTATCT